ATTAACAGAATTTACATCAGCATGCACATTGATGTATGGCACTGCACTAACTGTTCAAGCAGCACAGCACCCATGGAAAACCTTCCTGAGGATGGCCAAGCCTTCCCACATGTCTGAGCAGCCATCCTGAACAAAATGAGGGATGTTCCATACCCTGTCTCGGAGAGCAGTAAGGCAAAGGCAGAAGTCTTGCCTCTAAAGATGCAGAAAAAGCATTTTTACACAGTTTTCAGTATCCTTATGAAGTTATTTCAGGAGAGAACATTCTACACACAGGAATGTCACACAGCAAATAGATGGGAATGAAAGTGGCAGTACCACTCTGCTGCTTCAGATTCTGCAAGTTACTTCTAATCTTCACTATCTGTTTTCCCTTTCCAGGTCTCATACTGGTTTCATCCAATAGATACAAGCATTCAAGGTAAGGATATTTACACAGCTCTAAAAACCAAAGCACCAGATTTCCAGTTTTATAGTGCAATGGGAGAAGGTTTGCAGTTTGTTCTTGCTGTTTTCAACATCAACAGTGAAAATCCATAAGTAACTCCAATAATTTTATCTTCCCTGCTTTTCAGGAAACTCACCTGACTGAGAAGCCAGCTTGTCCCGTTTCAGATATGGTAATTAACTAGCACATTTTTGTAATTAACAAGGCTCATGAACACTGAGGGAAAGACACTGTCCCAATGCACAGGTGGTGACAAATTGCCACCTCCTCTTGGGGATTACAGACACCTGAAGTCAGCACCTTGACTTCCCATGAGCTGCAGGCTCACTTAAGGAATGAGAGGACACGTGGGTGAGGATTCCTTCCCAGGGATCAGTAAAAGACTCCTGCAAGTTTTGAACTGAGTTGCTTCAAACCATTTTGAATTGTGAACAACTTTTCTCTAATTGATTCAGAAGGTAATACAGAATAAGACTGGAGTTTCCTTCAAAGTTGTATTCCTGCCCCCCCGGTATTTCAGAATAGTCATTCAGGAGGTGTGTTTAAGATCTATCCTTGTACACATGGTTTCCTTCAACAGACTCAAAACCATTAGATCCCAAACTACTGAATCCTGAGAGCCCCTCAGGCTTTACTCCATGGCAAGCCCTGATGTAGACCAGGCCCTCAGGATGAAGAGCAGGTTCTTCCAACTCTAACTGCATAATTAAACAAATAAAGTGCTGCCATTTGAGAGCTGCCTAGGACTGGCTCGAGTGCTTGCTGTACTGCTCCAAGCCTGACATGTAAACCTGCATTGCCAACCCTAAATAAGCTGGCTCACAACCTTCCACTGCAACTGCTCTGTTGGCAGAAAGTAGGTAGAGCCATGGGATAATTCAGGTGGAAAAGGACATCAGGGGGACTCTGCTACAACCTCAAGCTCAAAGCAGAGTCAGCTGTGAAATCACACCTGCTTTCTCAGGGCTTTACCCAGCTGGATTTTGAAGACTTCTACATGAGGAGTCTGCAGGAGCTCTCTGGGCTACCAAGTCCCACCACTTGACACACCTCAGGGTGCAAAATGCCTTATGGACACAGACCTCTGTGACTTCAACTCACACCTGCTGTCTCTTATCTGCCCACCATGCAGCACTGTGAAGAACTTGGCTTCACTTTCTTGAAAAGCTTCACAGAGGTGCTGGAAAGGCCCCCCAAGCCTTTTCTTCTCCAGGCTCAACAATAGGCACAGCTCCTCTACTTCTCACAAAGCAAAGGCTCACAACTCCAGCCAATCTTGGCAGCTGTCCCCTGAACTCACTCCAGTTTATTGACATTTCCCCCATCCCAGGGAGGGGAGCACAAGTGGATGCTGTATTCTGGACAGGGTCTAGCAAGTGCCAAATGGAATGGGGTAATTGTCTCACCTGACCCACTGGCTGTGCCCAGCTCACTGCCCACCATGACCCCCGAGCCCTCTCAGCTGGGCTGCCCCAGAACAGGCTGTGCTGGTGCAGGGGTCACTCCTGGCAGGGACAGAGCCAGAAGCCCCCACCCACCCCTGAGGAGCTGCTTAAATGGGAAATTTGCTTAGTAATCGGCAGCAGATGAAACGGATCGAAACTGAAGCCAAGTCCTCTTAGTGTTAATGCACCTTACTTAGTAGGGCTAAGTCGCCTCTTAGGGCCATATTCAGATGGCCTAAATTCCACATAAATCCTTCTGCCTCCTATTTCTTATTAGCTGGCTTTCAGGCAGCTCCCCACTCAGTGTCTTATGTAAATTCTCTGAATTGCTTTTCAGAACCACCTAGAATTCTCCATTGACTGGGAAAAGGGCCTGCAGTGGAATTGAGGCCACCTGAGCCTAGTTTTTAAGGTCCAGTAACACTGCAGCATCAGACTGCATGATTTTTTGGATTTGCCACCATGGCAGCAAGTAGCAGTTGGCTGTCAGGACAGGTTTAGTTACTCTCCCACTGGAACAAGTATTTTAAAAGAAAATGTAGACTGCTAAACAATTCAGGACTCAGTTCTTCCTGGTACTTTCTGGAAATTTAATCCATAGCTGGATTTCCTTTAACAAGAACACTTTATCCATAGTTCTTTTGAATTTTGTCCTGAGCCATGTGCTATGTTTGTTCCAGAAGTCTTGACAATCCATTCAAAAAAATTGGGTCTTTAGTACGACTCAATGGCTCAAACCATTCACTGGCCTACAGAAAGGAAGAATAAAAGCCCTACAATCAGCACTGAATGGGGGCTGGGGAAAACATGGCTTAAATTCTCACCAGTTCAGGAAAGCACACCATGCTTTAAGTCCAACATGAAGACAACTTTGCTAGTTCTTCAGAGATTAACAGTTTTACAATAAACACTACTCTGATTTTCTGAGGTTTCTGGCTAAACCACATCTTGGGTTCTGAGAAGTGTCAAAAGTGAGAAATTACTCACACCAGCACAGTCAGCTCAACAAGCCTTACTCAGTGTTCTCACATACTCAGGATTCCCCAAGCAAAAGAGATGGAGCAGGGAAGATGGGAACCACCCATGAACACTTCTGAAAAGTGGAACCAGATTCCACACACCATAGTCCTCACACCTCTTTTTAGGCCATTAATAGTGCTTTTATCAAAGCCTCACAGAACTCAGGTGCACAGGCATGGAGAGTCTACCCCTTGTCCACAGCTGTAAGCCAGAGCTCTCTCAAAACATCCCACCTCTGTGAAACATAAAAAATAAAACTGAGGGTGGAATTTATTACCCTACACCCTTACTTGAGTGGAATAGGACATTTGAAGATAGCACAAACATTCAGAACCAAGTGACAGCTTATTGCAGGTCAAAGAGACTACTGTGGAATTAAGTCAGTGAGCCAAGAGGGACCAGATCCATACCACAGACTGACTTCATTATGAGTTTTTCACCTCAGACTGACTGAAGTTTGTCAGCCAGCCATCAACACTGAACAAACAAATGTTAAACCTGAACCTACCTCCCGTTCCTAGGGACCAACAATAATAAACATGCTGAACAACTACAAACAAAAACAGGTCTGTAAGTCACAATCGCTGGTGTCAGCCATTCCTGAGGCATAAATCTACAGGTCATTCTTGGTAATTCTTCCCAAGCTTAAAAATGTCTTTACTTAACTTTTCAAAGCACACAGAACAAATAGTATGAGAAGTGCTGCAGATAGTAATGAACACAAAGTCTTATGAATGCACCCAGATGATTACCTTCCTCTTAGGACACAGTCAAGACCTGATAACACATCTATTATTTCATGCTTCTGGTTTTTTAGCCCCAGGAAGTAAAAATCATAAGCCACAGTGAATTTTTGCACAATGAGATGGCAATCCACTCTGGAGAAAGACTGTATCAAGAGAAGAATTTAACCAGTCAGAAATCACATTAAGGCTGTTGGTTTCAGTTTATGTTTTTCTTTACATGATGCTTAAAACAATAACAAGACAAAAAAAACCCAAACAAATTTCATGTGAACTCAAATTTTTGTATTTTGAGTAAAAATGACTGCCCTTACCCTTAACAGACTTTTTTAAGTAACCAAAATATTTTACCATTGGTATTACTCTTTTTCATTTATTCTGTACTGATAACAACACTTGAAAACTGAGGCTACTCAAATACAGGAATTTCAGGTCTGGTGGTATCAAACCCATTTCACAGGCCAAAAAAAAGTGCTAAACGATACAATCTGATACTCCTAAACAAAATGCAGTAATACTTTACAATAAATAAAAGATTACATACCAGCTGCTGTACATAATTAAATGTTGGGCAGGGGGGGAGGAGGGCTTGTTTCCTCAGTAAGGTAAAAAAAAAGTAGTGACCATAAACTATCTTACAAATATTTTTACTCTGTTACTGCCCTCATTTTCCTGGAGGTTACTGTTTCCTCATTTCCTAGGGATTCTGTAGGAGTCCTAAACACTGAACTTCATGCTATTTATGGCACTATCTGCAGTAGTATTTTAAGGCGTGCTGCTCTCCCTACGAGTGAAAGGTGTTCCTGTGCAGGTCCGGGAAGGGAACGCACCTCAGCCTTAAATCCTGCATCAACCCCGGGAAACCGGGACCGCAAATCCCGGCCCGCTCCTCCCGCGGCCCTGCCGCGCCCGCATCACCCTCGCCCACCGAGCGCCAGCCGCTCGCCGGGACCGCGGTGGGTCCCGGAGCCCGCGGCGGGGACACGGCAGGCACACGGCACCGGGCACCTGCCCCACGCCCGGCCCCCGCTACCGCCTCGGCCGCCGGAGCCCGAACACAAAGCAGAGCGGAGAGCACACCCGCGCGTGTTACCGGCTATTATCTCGCTAATTATCCGGAGCGCCGCTCCCGCGGGGGCGACGCCGGTGCGCAGCCGCCCACCCCGCCGGCAACCGGGCCCGCGGCAGCCCCGCCGGGCGGCTTCAGCACCCCCGCGGCCCGGATGGCCGCCGCACTCGCCCCCGCGGAGGCGGCGGGACGCCCGGCGGGGCCCCGCGCGGCCAGGCGCGCTCGTGGCGGCGCAGGGCCCCGCAGCCCGCCCCGGCCCGCGGCCCCGCACTCACCGGCCCCGGCCCGGGGACGCCGCGGCGGCACCGCCCGCTCCGCGCACCGCCCGCTCCGAGTGCGCGCCCGCGCTCACCCGCGGCCGGGCCGCCCGCCACCGCCGCGCGCGCTCATTCCGTATGCGCCACGGCGCCTCCTGGTTGGCCCGCGCCGAGTGGCGCGCGGGGCCGGGCTCCCGCGGAACGGGGTTACTACAGGTCACCGCGCCGGGGGGCGGGGCCGGCACCGGAGGCCAATGGCTGGCGAGGGGCGGGGCCGCGCAGCAGCGCGTCGTTCCGCGCTCGGCGGTGGGCGGCCCGTGCCCGTACCGGTATCGGTATCCCCCTCACGGAGCCTCCTCATGGCCCCGCTGCTGACCGCGCCGGCCGGGGCGCGGTAAAGAATGCTTTCTGCCAAGTGTCCCGGACAGAGCGAGTGACCGCGGCATGAGCGTTACCCGGAGCCCCCGGCGCGGGTCGCTGTAAGAGCCGGGGCCGCGGCGGGGCCTGAGGCCGCCGTTCGGGCTTTGCCGACTCTGAGGGTTTTACGAGAGCGTGGCACCGCGGCAGCTGCTGCAGGGCGATCGCTCATGGCACGTCCAGCACATCCACCCTGACCAGAGCTGGCCTCTCCTGGAGGTGCTGCTCAAGGCAGGGCTCCTCTTTAACAATTCCTGAGGACCTTTTGTCAATATTGACTCATCCATGCCCTGCAAATGTTCCCTCAGAATTAGAGGTTTTCATTTAACCGGTGTAATGCAATACTGAAACAAAACAAACGAGCAGCTGCCAAAGAGAAGCGAAACAAACCCAACGAATGTGGAGAAGGTTTCAAAGCCCAGGGGACAGCTTTGGTTCCCGCGGTGCCGGGGTGGCTCCGCGGCGGTGACAGCCACCATTGTCACAGGGGGAGGTTTGTTTGGCTCGCCTGGGGCAGGTCAGGCCCTGGCACGGCTGCACAGGGATGTGAGGGCACAGCACGTGGCAGGGGGAGAGCAGGATTGCAGAGGCATGAGCCGGGACACGGCCGTACAGACACCAGCAGTGAGTTACTGTGAGCCAGGGATGAGCTGTGCAGCTGCCACCGCCCCGGCTGGGTCCTGTTCCTCCTGCCCCTCACACACACCACCTTTCCGAGCAGAAACGCTGTTTGCATCTCCAGCCATCTGCAGAGTTACTCGAGTGGCAGAGAATGTGTTCGCTCTTGCTAAAAGCAGATTAACAGGATATATACTTGTAATCCGAAGACCAACTAAGTCAGTCACCTCAGTTACTGGAAAAAACACTTCCAAGTGTTCAGAACTGGAACACAGGAGATGGCTGCTGACTGTTTGAAAACATTATCCACAGGAGTTACCTGAACTATAAAGGTCATGAGCTGCTTAAGCAAAAGGGTTGCTACCTGAATTATGGGTAGGAGTGTGGAGACATACTTAAAACAGCTGCACACTCCCTGGAAAAAAATGAAAAAGGATAAGCAGACATGGAAGGAGAAGAAACTCAGTTTTCAAAGATGAAAAATGCAGACATTTGTGCAACAGAAGGGAATTCAGGCGTTATCTGCCAAAAGATTTACTAATGTTGGTAGAGACAGAGTAAAGTTAATAAATTCGTTGTGAACATTAGCACAGGGAAAAGTCCTAGATTTGTGTTACACCGTCTTTCACATTTCTTCCAAGGCAAGAAAGATTCAGGATAAACTACAAAAGTGAGTTGGTGTAAAGGAAGATAGGAGACAAAGTACTGGGCAGCACAGAGCTTGTCTGCTCAGCATCAGATCTCATGTTGAACCCTCTGCTCTTATTTATTTCTGGGTTAGCACCAGCAACTGAGCCATAAAACACCTTGTCAAAAGCCTCACTTTGAGAAATGCTTGGAATCTGTAACTTGAAATTAAATATTATCCTTATTAAACTACAAGATCTGAATACTATCAAGTTTTATCAGAAGGAGTTTTCAAATAAATTTTAACTTCAAATACAGATTTGTTGTAAACTTTGTACTTCAGCCTCACCCTTATTACAGGGTGCATCAATTTAAGTTTGCCTGAACTTTTCAGTCATTTGTAATCCAAACACTAACTGTGGAACTGTGTATTTATTCCAAATAGACAGCTATTGGCTGTATCCCTAACAGTTCTCAGGGTAAATGAGGAGTTGATGGCTCCTGATTCAGCTCAGCATCAGAAGAGAAACAATAACTGCAGCCCACAGTGATAAAGCCACTTCAACTTTACAAACACCTAAGGCTTAAGAAATTATACTTATATACACAAACAACAGCATGCTGGTTTAAAGATTCCTACATGTATGCAGTATTCTCACAAGGTTCTTCATAGATTCCTGATGTTTACATACAGCAGAGGCAAAGCTTTTTATGATATCAGTGATATTACCACACCTTTTGCTTAAATGTGGATTTTACAGGGCAGGGCTTTGAAAGATACTGGTGTCATGTGGTACTTTAGCCCTTTTCTTGCATGAGCCCATGCTGAGTATTCCATGGGGAAACCAAAAAATGTGGGGATAGACAGTACACCAATAAAATCGGGGAATAACATATGTTTAATATTGGAAATTTGACCTGCACAAGACACTACAGTAGTGACTATGGGGGACAGTGGCCTTTCCTACACCAGTTGTGCATAATGATAGGAAATTGAATTGTAGGTTATTTATATTTTCATTTTGAATAGTAGCTTTTTTATATTTTCATTTAAAAGGCACAAGAGCACAATTAAAGGCAGGAAAGAAGTAGTTGTATCACCCAAGAGCATTCAGGCAGGGAAGGAGTACCTGGGAAAACATGCATGGCTGTTCCTAACCACATTCATGTATTCACAAACTCTTGTTTGCCTTGGTCCTTTCTGATTTCCAGAAGGAGAAGCTCATTAACTATTCTCACATTCCCTTTCAAAGAGTTTCAGGCATGCAGTCAAGGGGAAAAAAACATTGCCATATGTTTAGTTCAACAACAGAGAATGAATAGCAAGGGGTAAATAGCAGGGAAGATTGCAAGTGATCTTATGAAAATACTGATTGGGAGGTACAGTCAACTGACTCATCAGGAAAGAGACCAGCAAGCCAATGTTATAGTTGGCCAATTCTAGCTAATACCCAGGGGGAATTATTAAAAACAAAACCACGAGGCACACTGAAAGAGGAGAGTCTGGGAATGGGTAAATGTGTGTGGAAGGTTGGCGTTGATCTTTCATGAACAGGCTGCTGCCCACCTGTTCTTGGGAAGAAGCTGGAGGGGGAAAACCCAACAGTGTCACAGATACAACAGATGTGGGAGCTTTTAACTAAAAATCCTTGGAGGCACACAAAATTCAGGAGTACAGGACAGTACCTATGTTTAAAGTAAAATCAAACTGAGTTCTTATGTGAAATAACAGAAACCATTAAAGAAGGGGAACAAAGCTCATGCTCTCAACAGAATATATTTCAGTATGTGCTTTCAAAACTGAAAAGTGAATGATTCTAAAATTACAAAACTGTCTTCATGACTCATTAAATAATTGAATGCTACAACTTTGTATCAGTGTTAGTCTAAATGAAATAAATTGTAACTAAAGATATAACATTTTTAAACAGTTTGATTAGAAGTTATTTTGCTTTAGTTACAAACAATAACCTGTTCAACAAAGGGATTCATATCCATGATCATTTTTAATTAAAGACTCAAACTGCTGTTGTAATAATTTATATCTAAGATGTCCTGTTAGTGTGGCATTTGAATGCCCTTTTAAACATAGAGAGGGCTGAGCTACTACTGAAGGGGCAGGTAGAGCCAGCTGGGATGCAGGTTCTGGCAGCAAAATCAGCTTGTGTTCCTGAAGTGATCATTCTCTCAGCTGTAAATTTTGGGGTGTTGCTTTAAAAGATGGAAAAACATTTCTAGACCAAGCAACACGAGGTTTCAATGCTAAATAGTCCTCATGTACATATCAGTACATTTGACTCATTTTATCTGTGAAGCTTTTTGTTTCCAAATAGAGAAACAAATGAGTAAGTTGCTAAGATTAAATTGGAAAGCAGCAAACTCTGGCAGCGTGCCCCAATGATTAATTATTTAGTAGAACACTTGGTCATATGGGCATGCCCAGAGCCACTTTTCACAGAGAGATTGATGACATTAATAATAAGGTGATTGAGGGTATAGTGGAAAATTTATCACCACTTGACACAGGCTCAGCTTTGTTAATGCTTAAAGTACTTCTTTAAATTCCTGGCTTGTATTTTCTCATCCTCCAGCTCTGTTACCAACCCACTGTGATAAATCAGGGTGTCATTCAGATTTAATAGTAGGATAACCCCACAAACCTGAAATTTCTAATTAGGGGAAAGCATGTAAACGGGTTAAATCTGCAAAACAGGCTGCAAGGCACACTCGGCAACAGTGCCACACTCTGGAACTGCCATGCCATGAGAAACTGTCACCCACGGAAAATCAGGGGAAGGATTAAAAATAGAATTTATTTCTGCTCCTGAACTTTATTGCTCAAAAGCTGCCTGTTATTTTCTAGGCCAGGGAAACCTTACAGTGGAGCTGAGTGTCAAAGGCAGCCAAGAGGGATCAAATCATCAAATGGTGGCTCAAACCTGCAGAAAAACATTCATCCCTACAGGCTCCAAAGACAGTGGTATCTAAGAATCTCACAACACAATTGAATCATCAAATAGACCATAAAAACATCCAAGCCCAGACCTAAGTCCATGTCTGAGCTTTCCACACAGTACCCCAGCAGCTGCCCAGACTGAGCTTCCCCATGGATACACAGGACATGCTGGAGCCCAGCCCACCACCACCCCTCCCAGCTTGATGCAGCACAGGTTTAAGAGTGTTTCTTCATTCAAGCAGCACTGGCACAGAGCCCTTTTGCTTTTTAGACCACCCTAGTAAGACTCAGCAGGTTTGTCTGGATTTACCCTGTGTGCACCTGGAATTTGAGAAGGGTGGAGAAAAGCCCCTTCTCAGGATGGATCTGCTTTCTTCTGAAATGCTGAATAAATAAACATGGTAAACAAGTACTGTTACAGATAGAGATGGCACATTATAAACTGTAACATGACAGTGAGTGGCCAAAACAATCCAA